CATTATGTTCTGCTCAGATCACATTGAGCTAAATAAGATCAAATCTGCTGACTTGTGTTGTAAAATGAGACGTTTTCCTGTTTATCATCTGTTAAATCGATAACACAAACAGCTTTTCTGACATTATTTAAAACATCAGATAGATTATATAAACTGTAAAATTTTAATAATAATTGGGTTAGTATTATTATTATTAATAGTTTTCATGATTTCTACATCGTCAGTCCTTTTTTTCTGCTCTGATGTCAACATGTACAGTAACGGTAAATCCAGAGTCTTGACCGTTTAGCGTTAGCCGTTAGCTTCTCCAGCCGATCACACGGTCACGTGGTTTCTGAGCTCAGTTGTTCTATAGAATCTCCTTGATTTTTAATGTGAACAATGTTATTAAAGTTTTTCTTAGCATTTGCAGAATAGTCATGTGAACTGTGATCTTTAGTTTTAGTTTTAAGAGTTTATCAGCAGGTCAGAAACAGCTCAGATCTTAAAGTCATGTGATGTCAGAGGGGTTAGGAAGTGAGGCAGGGGTTAACTCTAACGGTGTTACTGGATTATTTGAGAACTCCCTGAAACTRGTGCGATCAGCAGGTCCTCTGAGAAACCTCACCAGGAATTAGATTGTTATTTTGGGGGGGGTTCCTCCACCGGAGAGGGTGAACACGTTGTGACATGATGAGGTCGTGTGTTGTGAACCGAGCCTCTGAGCAGAGAAACYTGGCAGCACCAGCATCGGTTACTTACTTGGAAGTGATTTTCTTTGTTTGATTGTCGGGAATCCCCTTTATTACAGGACATCTATCAACAAGAAAAAAAAAAAGGAAAGAACTATCCGTGAGTAAGTATTCAGAGCCATTTGTGAGCATTTAGCACCAAAAGCCCGAYCAGTGCAGACAGTACAGTATGAGTTCAAACACACACCACATCCTTCGGCTCCCCTCGCTTCCCCACTTAACACCCAAACAGAGGAAAAGGAACGAGCGCAGAGAAAGAGAGAGAGAGGAAACCTGCTGCTAGGCGTTTACGTGGGTATTAACTAGCTAATAATGCAGCAGCACATATCTTTACTGCTGAGAAACCCTGCCGCAGCTCAGTTAATCATTAGCAGCTGTGCAGTGGGACAGGTTCTTTAATCGTGTTAGCGTTTTGATTAGACGTGGCTAATTCCTCCCGAGAGGCAGCCGCGGTCGAGGCAGAGCCGGCCGCGGTTGCCTCGGCGAGGGATGCGCCGATCCGGCTCGCTCAAACATCCCGAGCAATAAAAGCTGTTTACGCAGCCATCAGCAATCACACAGGCTTCAGTTAACACTTAAAGTCTCGTTAAGTCAGCGGTTACTGCACTCCAGAGTCCGAGTCTCCTCACAGGTGCAGCGAGCCGGGGCCGAGAGGCAGCATGCATCTGGATTTCATTTACTGCAGCAAAGGTTAAAGGGATCCCTGCTTAGTTGTAACATTAAACTTTATTTGATAAATATATATTTTAACTGTAAAATAAAGACTGCAAAAATACTGTAG